TCCCTTACATATAGTGCAACTCCTCTACCTTTTCTCTCCTGCCTGTCCTTTCTGAAGTTTAAACCCATCCATGACAGTGTTCCAGTCATGTGAGTTACCCCACCAAGTTTCTGTTATTCTAATCGCATCATAGTTCCTTGACTGTGCCAGGACTTCCAGTTCTTCCTGCTTGTACATGAGTTTATGACCATTAATTCTCCTAATTTTCCTTTTGATTACATTGGTATAAATCAGATATGATTCTATTACATTCAATGGAGTTACACAAGTATAAAGCCTGAGTACACAAGAGAAGAATTAGGCCTTTAATCCACTAGACTATATAGCCATTGGTTAAGCATGCGAATTTGCAGGTGTTAAATTAGCAACAGAAGCCTATTGTTCACTCTGTGTACTAAAAACAATGAGGGTTACAAAGAAGAATTGATTATTTAATGGCTTCAAAGTTCAAGCAAGTTGTGTTCAGACTGATAGCTGAATATGAAAGTGTCATGCAAAATTGGATGTAATTTACAGTGTGTTGCTTTTTCAATAATAAATTAAAGTTAATTCTTTACATTTGGAAATGCCTTTCATCTGAGGAAAGTATTATAAACAATTATTGTGGGGTTTTTTAAACTTGTGGGAAGATTTTCAAAAGCACAAGGGGCAGTCAGGCACCTAACTTCCTTTGAAAGTCAATGGGATTTTGGCTCATAATTACCATTTGTACCTTCGAAAACCTCTCTCTTCACTTTGAGTCTAATTTGAGAGTGTTTCTGGTTTTACAACCCCTGGGCCAGATCCTTAGCTGGTGTAATTCAGCGTAGGTCTGTTGAAGTCAATAGTAGCTATGACTAGTTATACATGCTGAGGATCTGGCTATCTGCCTTTACTTCCTATTTGAAAGGCAGGGACTGCTTTATATTTCTGGGCCAGTATCACAGTAACTCTAGGAAAGACAGCACCCAGCTGCTAGGCTCAAACTTGGCTGTGAAAAAGATAAATACCCCCTGTGACGAGTTCCCTAGGGTGCCACATGGAACTGGGGTACCACTAAGCCCTCTGTCTTACCAACCTGGGATCCCTCTCACACTGTGATGCTGTGACAAGCTGCAAACCTCTCCAGGTACTGAACTTACACAGACATCCACCGGCAAGGACGCCCCCAACTGACTTACATGAATGCTTTTGCCAGCCACTCATGAACCAACAATAGAAAGGCTCCAGCCAATTTCCCCCAGCTCCGCACCCCTAATCTGTACCATCTTGCCCTGGTCCAGTGTAAGTTTATAACCCAGTCTGCCCCTCCCTCAATGTAGAGAGGACATGCACCAGCTCTTGTTCCTGAGCAATTTCCCAAGCACTTCAAGCAAAACACACTGTTTTGAGTAAAATATAAAACAGATTTATTAACTACAGAAAGATAGATTCGAAGTGATTATAAGTAATAAGTGTACAGATCAAAGTTGGATACCTAAGAAATAAAAGCAACAGAGGGTCCTGTGGCACCTTTGAGACTAACAGAAGTACTGGGAGCATAAGCTTTCGTGGGTAAGAACCTCACTTCTTCGGTTCTTACCCACGAAAGCTTATGCTCCCAGTACTTCTGTTAGTCTCAAAGGTGCCACAGGACCCTCTGTTGCTTTTTACAGATTCAGACTAACACGGCTACCCCTCTGATACTTAAGAAATAAAAGTAAAATCAGAATCTGAGTTATATACACTAGACAGGAGTTGAATCAAGCAGTGTCTACCCCTGGTAGATAATACAAGTCGGTTACAGATCTTCCATATACAGGTTGGAATTCTCTTCCAGCTGAGACCACCTCCCCAGTTTAGTCTTTTTCCTCCAGATATGTTTCCGGGTATTGAGTTGTGGGGGGTGAGAGGCCAAGTGATCATGTCACTTCCCCTCTTTTATAGCTTCGTCCAGCTTGCTGGAAAGAGGCTTTGCTATGACATGGGTCAAGCAGTCTCCATTGTCTATGTGCTATCTCTGAGAAGTCTCCATTGCATATGATCCTTGGGATAGATCTTAGGGGTGTGGATTCCTTTAATAGGCCATCCGTGTGTCTGGCTCCTCCATTGTTGCACCTGAAAGGCTCGTTATGAGTGTTCCCAACCTTACAACGTATTTCAGTAACACACTCACACACAGCAAAACTTCATAACTTCACATACAATCCAACAGGATATTAATATACAACAGATCAAGACTTTTAAAATAATATCTCACATGGCATACTTGGTACAAAACATATCATAATTATGTGACGGTGGTGAATATAGGGTTTCCTGGGTGCAGCTTTGAAGCACAGCATGTTGCAAATCCCTAAAATGTCTGCTTTGAGAAGGTTGGTAGAGTGAACCCCCTTCTGTTGGAGGGATGTAGGGATAGTGGCTTCAAAGGCAATAGGGGTCCATTGGGGAGGGAGACATGAACTACTAGTAGAAACCTAGGCCAAGATCTGAGTGAGCTGTAGGTGGTGGATACAGGGTTGATTCTGTTCTTACGCTGCTATAAATTAGGAATGACTTCAATGAAGTCAGTGTAGTTACTCTAGTTGTACCCTAGTGTAACATCAGAATGTAGCCCAGTGCATGGGTAAGTGCCTCTGCCTTAGGGGCTTCTGACCCACTGCTAAGCATTGCCTCCTTCCTTGATTGATTGCAGTGCTTGGCAGGCTTCTTTCTCCTGCTCCTTATGCTGATAGGTGTGGCCATCACTTGGTCATAAATATCAGAGGGATTCCCAACAGGTGCTCAAGTTCCAGAGAACCCCTGGAATTGGAACCTGTGAACCTATCACCTACTTCCACAATCATTGCCAAAACCACATACTGCAGCTCTTGTCAAGGGGTCGGCTTTTACAAAAACCTGTGACCATCCTGTCTGCAGCTGATGGGTTTGTGCTCTATTAGTAGATATTTTTATTTGCATATTGCTCATTCTTTACATCCTTCCCATATTTTAATATTTAAATTTTAAAGTAGATGGTCTGTACAGTACTTGTTTCTTTAATTAGTTTCCAAATTGCTAGCAGAATTTCAGATTTTACAGAGATTTTTTTTCTAAGAAGTTTCACACTTTAGTTTAAATGCTCATCTATGGTGAAAAAGTCCAGTCTAGAGCCTCACTAAGAAGAAGGTTGGACAAACACCTGTCAGGGATGGTCTAGGTTTACTTTCTCCTGCCTCAGCACAGGGTGTTGGACTTGATTTCTTGAGGTCCCTTTCAACCCTACATACCTATGATTCACATCCTTACTGTGTGAACAATGTGAAATCAATCGCAAAACTGATAAGTCTGTGCTATATTTGCAATCAACATCACCTTCCAATATATTGAACTTCCACAAGTCAAGAAGCTGAAATGCTTCAACCAGGCTATACTCCTCCATCAGGGTCTGCAGTTTGAAGTCAATGGTGCCGGTGCTCCTAAATCAGATGCTTTTGAAAATCCAACCCTTAGGTGCCTAAATATAGATCTGGGAGTTTATTTTTTGAAAAATCTGGCATGTATGTATAAAAGTTTGCAATAATGTTAATGTATTGAAAGTCTAAATACTTTTCATTGTTAACATTGAAGCAATTATGTTTTGAAGTCAGAAACATTTTATGCCCCTAAGAAATGCTTATGCCACAATAAAAAATGCACAAGTAGTTACTATTCATGTGAGTGAGTATGTGTTTGCTTATGTACCTGCTTATGTGTTTGCATCTACTCTAGGAACAGAGACTGAATTTGGGTTTGGTTTAGCTAGCCAAGACAAACCTTAAAGCATCTACTCATTTATTTAGCTTATGAGTGAATTGCTCAATTATGTGGAGGGAGAGGTTCAAATATTAAAAGGGGGATCCCTGGAACTGAACCTGGGGAAAGAGGAAGACGGAGCTAAATTGTAGGAGGTGAAGTTAGTGTTTTACTTAAAAAGAGAGAAAAGGAAACACAGATGAATAATAAGATGTGCCTAAAATGTGGTCTGTGTGAATGAACCCCTGTACCTGTATGCAGCCCTACTGAAATCAATGGGGATCCTCATTGGCGCTGGGGTATAGCCCAATAGAGCTCATTGCTGGACTGGGTATGTACTTATATGTTGTATCCCTTCCCTGCTTGGTCTTTTTAGATTATATGCTCTTTGGGGCAGGAATTGTCTTCCTCTGTGCTTGCAAATCAGTTGGTATATTTTGGGTGCTACTGTAATATAAACAGTAATAACTAAAGGAACCACTTGTATACGGTAAGCAGGAGTGATACCCCAAATCAGGGAAAGCCCCAAAATGCAGGTATTGGGGGGTTTAAAAAAAGAAAAAGGCCCAAAGCTACTATTAATAGAATGATTTTCTTGTTCATGCTCGAATATAAAAGGAAACCTGTGGGTTTTTTCGAATTGAAGTTGCCAAGTTTGCAACTCAAATTCTGGAGCACTAGAAAGTGAAACTGACCAGAAAGAAACAAAAAATACCCTAGTTAGCACAGAGCAGTATTACTGTTTGCCTTGTAAAACAGCATCAACACAAATTGGAAATGACATTCTAAGCCATTAGAATCATGTTAGATATTAGCTTCCATCCCTCCCTTCTCCTACCCCCAGCCTCTACATGCTCCTGCCCCCCAAAACCTGCCCTCTATCCTGCCCAAACCTTCCTCCTTCCTGCAGCCCCCAAACCTTCCCTGCTCCCCAGCCCCCCACACCTTCCCTCTATCCTGCCCCAATCCCCCCAAACCTTCCCTCCTTCCTACCCCCAACATTCCTGCCCCCCAGCCCCCCACACCTTCCCTCTATCCTGCCCCCATCCCCCCAAACCTTCCCTCCTTCCTACCCCCAACATTCCTGCCCCCCAGCCCCCCACACCTTCCCTCCTTCCTGCCCCCAGCCCCCAAATCTTCCTGTCGCCCGCGAACGGGCCCCACTAGGTCACAGCCGCTGCTTCCCGACAGGCGTTAACGCCCTGAAGGCCGCAGCCAGTTTCCATGGCAACGAGCGGGCCGGACTCCGGCCCCGCCCAGGCCCGGCGTGTGGGCGGAGCCACCTCCCGCCTCGGCCCGCGCCGCGCAGTGAGCGTCCGGGCCCGGCCTCGCTCGCACGCAGCGCTGCGCGATGGCTCCCGCCGCCGACAGGGCCGGCTACTGGGGCGCGCCCACCTCCACCCTGGAGTGGTGCGAGGAGAACTACGCCGTGTCCTACTACATCGCCGAGTTCTGTGAGTGCCGGGGCCCGGGGCCGGCCCAGCCTCCCGTCCCCCGAGCTGGGCTGTTCCTTCCCCGCCATGCCCGGGGGTGGCTTCCTCCCTCCTCCTGCATGTGGGCCAGGAGCCCAGGCCGGGCTCTGCAGCAGCCCCCTCGAGCCCCGGTGGGAAGCGGGAGACGGTCCCAGCAGCCCCTTGTTCCCCAGCGCCCCGCTGTGAGGAGCGGGACTGACAGCCCCTGTCCCCGAACTCGTGGCCGCTGCATCGGGGCTGGTGTAAACTGATAACCTGTTATCCCAGGGATGCATCCCAGCGGCTCTAGGCAGGAGCTAGTGAAAGGCGGGCCCCAGACTCGCTGTACAAACAGGAATGAATGCAGCAGAGCCCTCTGCTCTGTGTTGTGCAGGAGGTCGGATTAGATGTTCACAAGGGTCCCTTCTGGCATCGTAATCTCTGACGCCGGGGATAGCCTTGGGATGCCTTGCTGCTGGAGAGGGAGAAGAGATGATGATGGCAACAGGCTATTGGCTATGGACATTGGGATGGCTTGGGGCCTTAAAGACACGAAAAAGGGAGATTCTAAATCAAAAATCACATAGTGCCCTACCCAGGCTCAGGGCCGCCCGGGGGAGCAAGTGGGGCAATTTGCCCTGGGCCCTGCAGGGGCCCCCATGAGAATATAGTATTCTATAATATTGCAACTTTTTTTATGGAAGGGGCCCCCAAAATTGCTTTGCCCCAGGCCCCCTGAATACTCTGGGTGGCCCTGCCCAGGCTTGGAAGGATTAGCGTTTTATCAGTAAACGTTGGTAAACGTCAGTTTTACCATACACTGGCAAACTGATTACATAAAATCTCCATCTGTGATAATCGAAATATACAAATAGGCAAAGTAGGAAAAATGCTGCGTAGAGACTTCTTAGAGTTTGATTTGAGGATATTTGCTTCCTATGTTTTGACAGGCAGTGTTGACAATTTGTGTTATAAAACTTTATTTTTTTAAAATTCAGCATCTACTGTCATTGAGTAATTATTATCTGACCACCACCACCCACTGTCTGACCCTTCCATAATTTTCTGCAACTGTGAAAATTTAAATAGATAATAATTTTGAAAATGCTTATCATTGATCTCTGTTGAAATTATATAGATACAAAATTGAATTCCTCTAAGCCTTGCCATGAGTTTGCATAGGCCTTAAACAGAGTGAGGCACATTCCCTGCCCTTTGCGATGGAGGTAGGAAGAAGTGACGGTCTAAGATGGACAAAGCAAAGTGCAGTTGTTCCCGAAGAGGCACTTGAGGAAGGATACGTTAATACAGGCAGGACTTATTAATCAAGCTGGTCTTATTTTTTAGGGACCGAAGGTGGGACAGCAAGCTGTCAGGCTTTGTGCCTAGGGATGGCCTTGGATCACAAGAGAGGAGATGCTCACGTTGTATTTATGGCAGTGCAGATTGTGCTATGAAAAATACTGATTTTTGACCTTTATCTCACCCCCCCATAATTATGTATTTTTGTGTCATGTTTAAGGGTGATGGTGGTCATAGTGCATACATGCTGCTGTGTGGTAGGGGCCTTATGCTGCAAAGGTTTATGTGTGGGCTTAAAGTTAAGGGCTCTTGTTTGCACATTAGTCTAGGAGAGCAGGATCAAACAAACCAGATCCCTCCCCCAGCATGTTTGGAGCCTTGTATTAGAAAAAAAATCATAGCTGAGTATAGTTTGGATGCCTCACAGATTAGGTATGATTTCAGAAGTGTTTTGAATGAGTGGGAGGAAGTTTGGCATCCATTTTTGGAAGGTTTAGGCATACAGGAGGATGATACAGATGATCCTATTGGGTTTTCTTTTGTCACAAACATTGGAGTGGGTGAAAAAGATAAAGGGAATGGTCATGAGAGAAGCTTTTGTAGAGAGTGGCCATGGGAAGGCGTGTAGGAGTAGAAGAGGAGCAGTGTAGACAAGGCAGAGTTACAGAGATATTAGAAAAACAAAGTCAGTATTAGAAGTGGAGCTGGTAGTGCTGCCTGTTAAGGTTGCCTGAAACTTTCCATTGTAAGACCTTGTTTTCAATTGTTTATCATTTTTTGCCAAACTTTAACCATTTATAGATCTAAGGGTGAAAAAGAGTAGTGACTAGTAAGATGCATATTTGTATGGATTGAAAGGCTATAAAATGAGGAAGTTGGGACATAACGTGTTAGCCCATGCTAGTAGGTGCTAGATATGGAGAGGAATACAATAATTTTAGAGATGTAAAGAAGCAGCAGAATTTGATGAAGGGGACATAAATCTACACAAATTTGAAGGGTGTAAACCCCGAGAAGGAATGAGAATTATTTAGCATGGTAAAAGGGGATATAAATAGGAGTACCTGGATAAAATTTAAAAAGAAAAAAGTTTAGACTGAACATCTGCATGCTCCTTGATAGCGAGGTATAGTTTATTGAATAATCTCTCCAGGGAAGTGGAGGAGGCTCCATTACTTTTACAAATGTAAAATTAGATTTTACTAGTGTCTAATTCAGGGGTTCTCAAACTGGGGGTTGGGACCCCTCAGGGGGTTGCGAGGTTATTACATGGGGGGTCACAAGCTGTCAACCTCCACCCCAAATCCCACTTTGCCTCCAGCATTTATAGTGGTGTTAAATATATAAAAAAGCGTTTTTAATTTATAAGGGAGGGTGTCTCGCTCAGAGTCGTGCTATGTGAAAGGGGTCACCAGTAAAAAAGTTTGAGAGTGTCCCTGGTCTAATCCATGTACATTATGGAATAATCTTCCATTATTGTCGAGATAGACCAGGGTGAACCAATAGGTTTCCATCTCCACATCCTATGAGTAAGCAGAGAAAGAAAGAGAAGACAAAGATGACATCACGGTAGTGGAGAGTGTTCTGAATGTGAGGGTCAGAGGAAAGATAAAGCTCAGTTTTAGAGGAATGAATCAACTAGAGTTGTAATTTAAATCAGAGCAAATGGATTAACAACCTGTCCTTCATAAAAGAACCATGGACTCTTTCATGACCTTTGGTTTATAGCTCTTCTGAAGTCCCTTTTTTGTATCTAATTATTTTGGATATTAAAATTGTTGTCAGTTCTTCGCTATCTAGTGAATTTAAAAAATGAATTGGAAGTATTTTCCATTCTGTATGTGTCCCTGAGTCTCCCTGACAGTCTTTGTGATTTTTACTATCACATCCTATTTGAAACTCAAATGCACAAGGTAAGCATACTGTAAAATAAAAGTTTTTCTCTTCTTTGTTGTTTTATTTGTAGATATTACTTGCAATAATACCAGATATATAAAAAAAACCTCAGACCAATATGCAAATGCATTAACAATTACATAGCAGTATAAAACACATTGGTGCTTGCTTTTAGAATTATGTTGTTTATGGAGGAGAAAAAAGTTTGTGTTATGAGTGGTATGTTCTTGGGTAACAAACCAGCAATTTCTCATTAGGTAGAAAGGCACAAGACTTCTTCAGTAAACCTGCATGTATCTAGGTAGAGGTATGCCAATTTTTATACTAGATTGTAAAAGCAGGATGTCCAATGTGTTACAAGCACTGGAGAACCCCTCACTACAATGACAATATTTCTTAATTTTTGTATCCAGTTTTTATTCCAAATAATTTATAAGAAGCCATTGGATATTTGAAACTTGCAGGACACTGTCAGGGTTAAACCATGTGTTCTTTTTACAGTAAAAACCATGTTATCCAGCCCTGTACCAACTGGAAAGCTCTATAAACCGGTATTTCTAATCTTTATAGAAAGTCTGGTTTATAGTCCGGTTGGCACGGCTAGGCGGCTCTGCGTGCTGCCCTCGCCTGGAACCGTGGCCAATGGGAGCTGCAGGGGCAACACCTGTGGACGGGGGAAGCGTGTGCAGAGCTGCCTGTCATGCCTCAGCCTAGGGTCCTCAGGCATTGGTTGACGCTTGCGGGGAGCCACCCAAGGTGAGCACCTCACATCCCTTCCCATGCCCCAATCCCTGTCCTGCACCCAACTCCCTCCCAGAGCCCCCTGCACCCCCCTCACCCCCCAAACTCCCTCACTCTTAGTTAACTAGCATTTTTCACTTACCGGCACCTCCCATTCCCCCCACATGCTGGATAAAAAAGCTTTTACTGTACTTATCTAAGGGCATGTCTACACTACAGCTGCAGTTGTGCTGCTGTAGTGCTATAACATAGAGGCTTCCTGCATTGCCAAAAAACCCTTCTTCCTTCAGTCTAGCTGTGTCTTCCGCGAAGGTTAGGTTAACCTAAATATGGCTCTCAAGGCATGACATTTTTCAGCCTTGAGCAACATAGCAGTGTTGATCTAATTTTTAAGTGTGAACCATGCTTACTAAAACACTGTAAGAGCCAAAAACGTTAGCTTGTTTTGCAACTCAAGTCATTGTGCCTCTTTGCAAATGTTTTTGATATGCTAATTTCAGTACAAACTGAGACATTGTGCTCATGTGCTGGTCCGGAAGCCTACGTGTATTTCTTTCCTATTCATTTTCTGAACGAGTAGTAAATGATGGCAGCTGATCAAATTTATGTATTCAGAGTTGTGAGGTCATGTAGTATACACTGTTTGTTTTAATAAATTCGAACCCAAAGGTTCCTGTCTGGGATGTTTTTGGTGTTCCCAATTCCAAAATAAAATTTCCTTTCTGCCTTCCTTTATTCACTTACCTGACTGATTTTTCCACAACTCTTTCTCCAACATCTTCCAACTCCCTTAATCTTCTCCTCCATATCTGCATTCTGTGGCAAAGCTTGTTGGATCATTGATACCAATGGGAAATAAAATCTTTGGGTTTTTTATTTCATTTAAATAGACTCCAAATGCTCCCGCTCTCTCCTCCGCCTGAGAAAAAAGAAACAAAGGTCTTGAAAGGCAATTATTTTTTAAAACCTTGAAGCCTAAAGGGACCTTTACCTCTAACTGTACTTTATTCCCTTTGTTGGTCTAATCTGCGTGCATACTAGTTTGTTCTTTAGAGTTGGTCAGA